GATATTATTATGATTCCTTACAGCTGTCTAGGAAGAATCTCATGCGTGAAGCGCCACTAAGTCTACTTTAATATTCAGGCTTTTCCAACTGTGTAAAATTACAGTCCCCTTTTTGCCCTTTCTGCAGTGCTGTTGTTTCAGAATTGGCTCTCTGCCATGCAGCAGAAAACGTTCTGAAAGAGTTTAAGAAGAAGGCAGAGTCTGTATTTGGAATTGCTACAGGGTGGGACAGATCTATCCTGCAGGAGATTGGCAACATTGCAGGTAAGGAGGCTCGCATCCGTATCAAGGATGTTCTAAGAGATGTGGTCCACCTTGTACCCTATATCTCTGAATCAGAAGACGTTAGGGGAAATAGGGAAAAGATGAATTGAGGTTCCTGGAGCATAACAACTGCTCGCCTGTATCTGGTCACCATTAACCTTAGATCCAATATTGGTGGGATGTTGTGGTGGCCTATAATGTAACCACGTTCGGAGCAATTAAACCCATTGGAATAAAAGAGTTTAAAAGTGCAATCCTATGCATGTCTGCTTGAAATATGTTCCATTGTGTTCAATGGGACATGTGTCAGGGTGAGTATGGGAGTTTACTCAAGCTGGGATAGCTCAGTCGGTAGAGCATGAGACTCTCAATCTCAAGGTCATGGGTTTGAGCCCAACGCTGGGCAAAATATTCCTGCATTGCAGGGGGTTGGACTAGATGACCCCCGTTGCCCCTTCAAACTCTACAAATTCTATTATTCTGAGTAGACCTACCGAAATGAATGAACCTAACTTAGTCACATATATTAATTTAAGTGTGTCTGCTCTGGGTGTGACTGCTGTTGGATACAACCCTATGGGTTGTGCCATTCCTTCTGAATAGACCCACTGAAATGAATGGGCAGGACTCGCTCGTGTTCATTAACTTCAATGGGCCTACTCTGAGCATGGCTAACATTGGCAACTATGTTATGGCGGATTGTGCGACGTTGGCTTATAATATGTGTTTTATACGTTCCTTATATGGATGTTTATTTATATGTTCCTTATATGGATGTTTTGGGAGATGGGAAAGAACACAAGCAGAAATGGCAACTTTTGCCCTTAAAACAGAAACAAAAGGAAAAAGAAAATTGGATTAATAAGGTGCACTTTTACAAGGGCTGCACATCGAACTTTTCATTTAACTGCAGAGAAGCGCCTTGTTTTCTTAAAGGCCTGATTTCCCAGAGGTGTCTGAAAACATTTTAGAATCAAATATTGATCAGCTAAAGCATACAGAGGCTCTGAAATGGACGTTTGCCCCAAATTCAGCCTAATCCACCGTAGTGTAAACTAAGTAAGCTGCATTCTGATCTCTTTTTCTCACTCTCTCAATCTTTTCCTCTCTCTCTAGCTGGCTTAAATGGGGGAAGAATTAAAAGCTCTTGATAAAGAATTGATGCCCTATTTCCACCCAACAGCAATAAAATATATCCCTGATGAAATCTTCAAAGTAAGTGTTGTGGATGTTTTGATTCTTTCCCCCATTACGTCTACTTTGTTATAAACGGTGATGTGAATGCGTATCTTCATTCGGAGAACACTTTGAAGGGCTTCTTCTTAAGTCTCTAGAAATATTAAAGTAGGGTGTAGTGGCAGGAGTGGGGAAGCTTTGGCCCTCCAGATGCTGCTGCACTACAACTCCCATCACCCCTGGGTATTGGCCATGCTTGCTGGGGCTGATGGGAGTTGTAGTCCAACAACACCGGGGGGGGGGAAGGTTCCATACACCTGGTTAGAGTTTCAGGAGACTAGGGTCCAAATCCCCATTTTGCCACGAAGCTTACTGTGCGACCTCGGGCCAATTATTACCTCTTAGCCCAACCTAAAAAAGGTAAAGGTACCCCCTGCCCGTACGGGCCAGTCTTGACAGACTCTAGGGTTGTGCGTCCATCTCACTTAAGAGGCCGGGGGCCAGCGCTGTCCGCAGACACTTCCGGGTCACGTGGCCAGCGTGACAAGCTGCATCTGGCAAGCCAGCGCAGCACACGGAACGCCGTTTACCTTCCCGCTGGTAAGTGGTCCCTATTTATCTACTTGCACCCGGAGGTGCTTTCGAACTGCTAGGTTGGCAGGCGCTGGGACCGAGCAATGGGAGTGCACCCCGCCGCGGGGATTCGAACCGCCAACCTTTCGATCGGCAAGCCCTAGGCGCTGAGGCTTTTACCCACAGCGCCACCCGCATCCCTCTTAGCCCAACCTACCTGACAGTAAAAGGGCAGCGTAAACAAATAGTCAATAGTAAGTAACAATGGCCATGTTACAGCAAAGCTGATATCTCTCTATATAATTGCATTTACTCTGTGATGAAGCTAAGGACATAAATTAGTTCCACTGTGGTTTGCAGCATATAGCTTGTGCATGCTGGATTTTTTAAGTCCAGTGAATGATAGCAATGTGTTATGCACATAACATGAAGTAGACATTGAGGAGATTTTCATTTACTCTGCGTTTTAAAAGCGAACCCAATGTAATTTGCAATTCCTGGACTTATACACAGGTCAGAAAGTGGTTAAGCAGGATCCACAGGCAAGTCGCAAGGCCATCCCAGGTGGGTCACAGCAAAGCTGTTGCCACCATATTGGTCTCTAGCTAAGGCTCATCAGACCACTGATAGTCCATTAATCCTGTCATTGGGGTTCCATATATGTAGCAGAGCTATTTCACTAAACTTTAGCGTCACCCCCTCTCCACCATGTTGCTTGTTGATTTTTTAACCAAAGGGAAATAGCTTTGTGATGCAACCTCTACTGCAAGGGTTGTTGTTTGAAAGTCCAAAAAAAGCTCCTTTCCTCTTGATGAAAGTCAATATCTGGGCTCTCTCATCCTCTTTATTTTTGTAAACTCTAAATGGGGAAAGAGATTTTTTTTTTTAAAGATGAAGAACGTTCTACAAAATCAAGGAGAACTCAGAGGTGCTATTATAGGTGTCAGTCGCACAAATTGCCATCTTTGTTCTACGTGGAAAGATAATTACTGTGCAATTATAACAGTAGCCGGTTTTCAAAGAAGGCTTAATAATATGGCCTCACTCGACAGATTATTTTGCACCTGAAGAAAAGATCCGACAGCCGAGGCAGTCGATGACATCTCTTCGGTTTTGTGGATCACATTGATTGCATCATTGTTTTTCCAGTGTAACATTTTGCAAGCACAAATGAAGACAGACGGTTGACTCCGAAGCTACTGATGTGAAACGATGGAGCAGAAACCGCTAGGAGGATAAATTGTCATATATGGGAGATTGCTTGGTGCAGGTGTATTGTCTTCTCCAGCTCCTGCATCTGGTTTGCCATCACACACCAGCAAGATACACAACCTTATATGTTGTATAGATGAAAATACAGATACTCCTGGATTCTTGTGATCATACACACGATAGATAGATAGATAGATAGATAGATAGATAGATAGATAGATGATAGATAGATAGATGATAGATAGATGATAGATAGATAGATAGATAGATAGATAGATAGATATAGATATGATAGATAGATAGATAGATAGATAGATAGGAAGGATTTTCAGGAATAATTAAATACATAAGCAGAGGATGTTATCTGTTCAATAAAGTATGTTGATATAACCGCATTACACTGTTATATTTCCCTCACTCAGCAAACAAACATACACAGAACCACTAACAAATTAACTAAATGAAACAACCTAAATCCCCCCAATGTTAGTCATGTCCATTTATTTCAATGGGTCTACTCTGAGTAGGGCTAATACTGGTTGCAACTCTTCCTCCAAGTTGTTCAAGGTAGTATACCAGCTTCACCCCTCTCCACTTCATCTAGTTCAGCACATGAACTGCTACCCACACTGGCTCCTGTATACTGAATGCATTTACCCTGCAATGCCCTGTGTGCTGCTCACTTTTCAATCACCTGATCTTTGAAACCGGAGCTTTGAACCCACCCAAAGTTCTTATGTATGCCAGAAAAGAGGTAGCTAAAGTGATTGTATGAAGATTTACTGCTTTTAGAAAAGAGCATGCCTGAACCACTCACAAATTAGTCTCAATTTCCCGTATCTTAATTACCATTAAACAACATTACAAAGCAGGCTAGACTAAAGAGATGAATAGTTCACCTCTCCCACTTGGGTCTCTTGAGAGGAACCATGAGTCTCATTGGAGACACTGAGCCAGAGAAATGAGCTTGGACTCTTGTGCTCTCTCCAGTCAAGATTGTTACAGGTTTCTAGCTTACTTCTTGTCATCCAATTTTTACCCAATATTACTGACACAATAAACACAATCAGGCTAGGAAAGCCGTCACCACTAACCTGTAGACTGAAAGACTCCAGGGTTACAAAGGCAATAACGTGAAGCAAAAGCTTCCATCATGCGATCTATTTTTTGAGCCTCTCCCGGAAGCCTGAAACTCCACAGGAACTGCCTGCAAAGATATACATTAACTTGCATGTCAGATATCACCCACTACAGTATCTCCTGCTACAACACTATCAAACACCATGTCTCTGTAGATCAGCGCTGATCTCAAGTTTTCCCCCAAAATAAAATTGGTAGCCTAGCAGCTTACGTTACTCAGATGCCCCAGTCATGTGTTACAATGAGCCGCAGTTAATGGTTTACTACGATTGAGCCCAAGAGGGCTCTCCACTTGTGCATTGTGGGAGAAAACCATGCTTCATGACGTAATATTACACCCAACCCAGGATCATGGTATGTGTTCCTCCCTTCCCTCTTGTCCGGTGTGACCACATGGATAGTTCTGGGACCTTTCACTTCTGTTTTAAACTAATCATATCTTGTCATGACTCATAACATTTGAAACAAACAAACCACAATTAGTACTAACTAGGACTTACTAACCTAAACAGTATCATACCATGCTTTTATAAAACTGGCTTGTATTAGTAAACTACAGTTAAGATTGACCATGGTTTAGGATTTGGCTACAACACAAAAGTACAGTTAATTGGAAAAAGAAGCTTGCAATTTTCTCACTGCACAACCATTCCCATAATGCTATGGGTTAACATTAAGTCCAAAGGCAACTAGAGTAATCACTCATCTCCACCTGGGTGAGTTCTGACAGAGTTCATTAACACTATTGCCAGCAATGCTGCTCTGCTTATAACACCCCTTTGACCCTTCAAAATACATTATTGAAATGCACCATGAAACAAATTATGTGATGGTAACATTTAGGCAACAAAACTGATATCCTTCATTTAACAGCATGCCAAACTTGAAATAGGAGTTATTTACTGTTTTGGGTAACATTGTGTTATCAGTGGTGAAAGTTCAAACCATAATAGGTAAAGGTAGTCTCTAACACTATTTGCTGTGACTTATCAACATGGTCTGCAATTCTTATTTTCTTTAGCTATATGATTCGTAACCTTACATTTCAGTCTCTGTCTCTCTGTCTCTGTCTCTCTCTCTCTCTCTCTCTCTCTCTCTCTCACACACACACACACAACACACACACACACACTGTTACTTGTGTTGCTCACCAAATTGAGGCATTGGGGGGGGGCAGATTCTGTTATTTTTGGGGCCTCTGCTTAAAAATTGCAAATATATTTAGGAAAAAGTTTTTTTAGTGTGCTCACCTTAAGGCTTGTACAAGATTGAGATCAGCAAACTCATGGAGTTCAACAAAAGCCTGAAGTACTTTAATATTAAAGTCATCCCTGTGAAATAAAACACACAGAGTAAAATGTCAGCGGCAATTCATTTTAATATTCTGACTTCCTTTTCCCCCAGCCTGCCTATCCACAAGGTTTGGCTGCTCACATGACCAAAGGGAATCTGGGCTTCTTCAATAACAGGTGCCCCAATGGTCCTTTGTCCCTTCTCTTGCTTAGCCTCTGCTACCTAGGTGGCGTTGGTGTGCATAGATACATACATGTGTAACTTGAACTAGGGCTTCCCAGCACTCAGGTTCCGATGCCTTATCTCTTATGGCACCAGCACTCAAGTGTCCAATGCAGGACTTAACTCTGGAACTGCCTTGTAGGTTGCTGCACCCACCTGTCCCAGGTCCTATAAAGCCCCAGCCTCAGAGCTGGCTCCTTAAGCCTACAGCACTCATCTCTTGCACAGTGAGACTCCCTGCTGACCCAAGACACTTTGCTGCCTAAAGGGGAGCAGCAAATCCTCCCCTCCACAATCAGGCTGCATGGTTTTCAAGGCCAGTTGAGTTATTTTTGCACCTGCGGCAGAAAATCTCACAAGTGCCTCTTGCCATCCCCTGGCAATAAAAACACAATAATAAAAAAATAAATAGCCAACTATCTGTTGCCCCCAAATTCAGCTGCCTAAAATGGTAGGGATGGCTGTCTACGCTCCTGCTCCCTTTGATCCTTTCACTGTTACCTGACCTCTGCCTGTTTCAGACCACACTCACTTCTAGCCCGTGAGGGCTAACTGACACCCAACTCCTGGTCTCAGGGCCCCATTGCCTAGAACTTTAATCTTGACTGAGGCCCAACACTATTCCCACATCCAGTTCCCCATCCACAGTAAAATACTGGATGCACACCAAGCTGACCCAGTTAAGAGGCGTGGCACTTGTGTGTCATATACCAACATTGTTCCTCAGATGATCCTGCACAATAACCACATGTATACAAGAAGGGGAAGCAGGGATCCAGAATATGATGATACTTAAAGCAGGGCTAAAGTTGTGGAGTAACCACTCACTCAACAAGGACATCCATGCTTAGCATAGGCCAGACAACATCCAATTTGAGGTAGTCCAACGCAATGCCCTCCTTAACAAATAACCATGCTGTTAGCTGCCCTGAGAGAAGGAATCTTTGTTGAAAACTGCAGGATACATATTTAACAACGGCAATAAATGCATCAAGTATCCAGCCAGTGCAGAACTCAACTTCTTCTGGCTTGCTTTCAAACAGGGTGCAAATAAGTTCAGTTTGCAAGTAGTCACCTGCAGGACCCAAGAACCCTCTGTATCTGAACTGGCAGTCAAGTTGAACCGAATATGAGCCATGTTTGTTCTCAGTCGCCTGTAGTGGGAGTAAAAAGCTATACAAGCAACTTGTTTGTACATGCAGTTTCCCATCTCAAAGGCAATGGAACAAACATGCAATTCCCAGAATTAAAGGCTTCCCAGAATTCCCAGAAGTTAGGAAGAAAGAATGAGCTTGGGCTTCAGTTTGCCATTACATTTTCAAACTTGGCATTACAGTCATGAGGACTAGAATTTCCCCCCCTTTAAATCAAACCTGGAAATCTCAGGACTCTAATAAAATCCAGTGCCATTATGAGCTATTAAAGCTGTGCAGCAGAAGAGCATCAGTCAATTTAATATTTTAATAAGCAACTTACATTTTATTCTCCTATGCACTGTACAAAATGTAAACTCATATAAGGGCATGAATTATGAACTATGCTTGTTTTATTCTTTTTTAAGAAAGAGAAAAATGGTAATACAACTAAGGTAGTTATTCTTTGACTCAGCACCATTCTGAATTTCAATACTACTGGACTCAGATGCCCTGTAATCCTTAGGGTGTGTTTGAATCACATCATTAAATGAAAATGTTGCAGATCAGCTTCCAACTCAACAACAGGTAGGCGGGTTTCTAAAGCAAGCAGGTGCCTGAATCGCCTCCTTAAGTGTACATAACAAACCTTTTCAAGTATTTTAATTAATATGTTGAAAACTCCACTCATTAAATAGGATGTGAGCAAGTTGTGGCTGTTATAAATACAATAGAAGCTCTTGCCAAGGGGAAATTAGTAGATCAACGCATCAAAAGGAATGTTTTTATCCTCAATGGGAATGGTATAAAGAAAGTAATTAACGTTATTTAGAAAATACACTCAAGAAGAATCCTTCGGAGAAATACCTCTAGGTTTCCCTCTTGATTATACAGTATACAACTTCAACCTTATCTGGGCATGGTACAGTCATTTCTAGTTTGTATTTTTCCAGCAGGGTGGAAGCTGGTAGAGGAGGGGTAGAAAATTCTGTCCCTTGTCCAGAGGTCCGCTGCAATCCTATGCTGGGTTCAAAAGAGGGGATTTCCCTCTTCTGGCAGACTACGTGCTTTCTATGTTGGACACAGAGGGAGGCTGCTCTGTCCTGGTCTCCCTGCCCTTGCCAATGACAGTCCACTGACTCACTTCCACAGGGCCAGCTTGCTTCAGGCAAAACAGAAAATGCTGCTCCCACCCTGACACCTCCTCCCCCCTCCATTGCTGCTGCCTCCGAAGTGGCAGGTAGTGGCAAAGGGGGTGGCTGGGCATGGAGGAGGAGGAGGAGGAGGTAAGAGGCGGCAGAGGAGGCTGGATCTGCCACCTGAGGCTACCACCTCACCTTGCTAATGGGTGGACCAGCTAGTACCTGCATGCAATGCCTTGCCATCTATGGCAACTGGGCACTATTTGTTATCCAATTTTTATAAACTCTTATTCAAGCTTTTTCATGATACAATAAGATAAAAGAAACTATTCTAAAACGAAACACAAAAACAGAGAAAGAGAAAAGAAAACACAGTCCTCTCTCAAAGGTAGCCATTAAGCCCCGTCTCACACAAAGTGGTGGGCCCTCCCAGCTCTTGCCTGAGAGCTTTCCTTTCTTCTCCCAGTCTTTCACCCTGGGAAGTCTTCCCTTCTCTGACTTCTCACTCAGGGTCCTTCCATCCACCCACCCACCCATGTGTGTGTAATCCTTGGACCCCAATAACGGCCCAGAGCAGAGGACACCAAAGGAAAACAAAAGAGAAAAGAGAAAAAGAACAAACTTATAGAAGAAAAGACAGAGAGAAAAGAGAAGAGAGAAGAATAAAAAGGACTTCTGATTTTCCATCTGTCAGTTACATAAAAAAATATTCAAAACTATTTGTTGTCCTGCATACAAATCTGGTTCACTATAAGAAGCGAGTGATAAATGCAGAAGGTTTAAGACTAGTTCAGAGTAAAAAAAAAAAAAGTAGGGACGCAGGTGGCAGTAGGGACACAGGTGGCGCTGTGGGTTAAAGCCTCAGCACCTAGGGCTTGCCGATCGAAAGGTCGGCGGTTCGAATCCCTGCGGCGGGGTGCGCTCCTGTCGTTCGGTCCCAGCGCCTGCCAACCTAGCAGTTCGAAAGCACCTTCGGGTGCAAGTAGATAAATAGGGACCGCTTACTAGCGGGAAGGTAAACGGCGTTCCGTGTGCTGCGCTGGCTCGCCAGATGCAGCTTGTCACGCTGGCCACGTGACCCGGAAGTGTCTGCGGACAGCGCTGGCTCCCGGCCTATAGAGTGAGATGAGCGCACAACCCTAGAGTCTGGCAAGACTGGCCCGTACGGGCAGGGGTACCTTTACCTTTTACAGAGTAAAAATAAAATAAAAATGCAGTATTTTCAGCTGAGTGCAAGAACTTTGTCTCTGCACACTACGACTACTACTACTACTATTTCTATCCCACCTTTCTCCCAGGCACACACACATAAAGACACTCACAAGATTTCAGATATTCTTTTTGTTGTTTAATGCTTTTTTTAAAAAAAGAAAGTAGTGGTGGTACCACTAGGGTAACCCATATTAGGTCCTGGTAACACCTTTTGTGGGTCCTGACCCACCAATAAAGAACAGTGCTCTGGAACTGAAATTTAGATGTGGATGTGAAGACCAACTGTAGCTTAGCCATGGGCTCTTTGGGTGGCTTTTGACAAGAAACTCTCCCTAAGGCTCAGTTCATGTATAAAACAGAAATAATGACAACACAGTTGTCATCCATCTGTAAAATAGAAATAAATAATGACCACATGATTTTGGGGAGGATAAATGAAAGAAAAAAATATAGTTTTGCCTGCCCAGAACCTTAAAGCTATAAAATTTAAAAACCTTAAAGCTATAAAATAAAGCTACAAAATTCAGTTTGAACTTCCCATCTCAAACATTTAAATTATTGCATTGTACATTTCTGCACTGTAAGCTGATCCTCCCCAAAGACAGATGGGCACATGAGGATGTCTTTTAAATATATTTTTAGTATACATATAGACATTTAACCATCGGAAGAAATGTCGAGAAAGTGTTTGGAAAATTCTCAGACACTAAATAACTTGCTAAAGATAATACGCACTTGGCTAAAACTTATCTCCCCTGAACTGACATGCCATTCACAAGCGGTACAGCACAATCCTAAGCTTGTTATTCAGAAGTAAATCTTACCAAATTCAATGAGACTTACTTTCAAGTAAACATGGCTAGGACTGCAGTTCTAAACACTTCCTAGTTCCACCGTGCTGCTAAGTATTAAGCTACAAAACTTTCATACAGTCCACACAACTGCCTCATTGGGGCAAGATCTACTGGGAAGAGTTGCTGTGTTCACTAGGCCTGGCCTCCTGAGCTATTTGTCAGGTATAGGCCAGGTGGGCGCAGCTTGGCGAAAATGGCCTCACAGGGCAAATATGAAGGCCTAGCAGGTTTAATTAGACCCACAGAACAAATGTTCCCCACTCTAGATGTACATAGTTAGCTACACTTTCTTTTTTAAAAATATAATTTGTATTAGCCACAGTTTATTGACATAAATTAGGAACAACACAAAAAAGCAGCTCAGTTCTGTTGCAGAACAATGTTCTTTAACTTTCAACTGCCTACATTAGAAACACAAGAAAGCCTTACTCCTAAGAAACTCTGAAATACCATGTTAGATATTCACACCCAAAGAGACTGAGAGTATCTACTCCTCCAGTATGAATTACTACTTTTATTCATGCCATTTTGTGACTGCAACGGAGCTTGTGAACGATACCCCATATTTTCATCTCCAAGAAGCATTACATCACAATAAGGCATCTGGTATCTATTAAGATACTCTCTGCCAGAGTCTGTACTATTTTCAGTCACGTATAAGGGAGGGGGGGGTGAGGGACCTGAAGCTGTTTGCAGACCAGGAAATCCAGGTTAAATTGGATAAAGAAGCTCTCAAGATGATTTAAGTTTGCAGTCTTTGCTATACGTTGATTGCAGTTTTGGTTCTACATTTTAAAGATCAAATTTGCAGCCAGAATGGCCTTTATGTTTAATATTTGTTCACATTAAAAGCTAGGGGATGCTGCAATTCCTCTGAAGTGCCTGCTTAAACTATATATTACCACCAATAAGATGTTCACAGAAGACAACATTAAACAGACGAAAAGAACTATTATTAGGACAGGCAGTAGCCTTGCTGATAGCTAATAATTATGTAGCCAGCTGTCTCCTAAGATTAGCAGGCTCTTCTTCTCTGGTCTCAACATTAAATGCCACACATGATTGTCAAAATCTAACTCTGAAACCTCCCGAGATTTGCATCACAAAACCCAAGCATTTAATTATCATTAATCCTATACACTTATTTTTATAAGTGTTTCCTCTACTCAGGAAAGCATGTGTGAAGAAGATACACCTGTGCAATGTGTCGTTTTGCTTCCAGTTAGAAGAAACGGTCCCTGCCCAACCACATGCATTCCTATCTAGATTTTTATTTTTAAGATCTCTGAGTTTCAGAAGAAAAGAAATGCAATGGAGAAAATGCCCCTTGGAATTCACAAACCTATATGAGCTGCTTTGAGCTGTGGTAGAGCACACACTTTGAACGCAGAAGGTTCCACATTCAATCCATGGCATTTCCAGTAAGAAGGATCAGGAAGCAAGTTATGAGAAAGGCTATGAGTCAATGTTGGAGATCCCTTACAAGGATAGGGAAGGGCCCACAGCTAAATCATAGAATATATACATCATATGCAGAAGGCCCACAGCAATTAAAAGGATCAGGCAGCAGGTGAGGTGAACACTTGAGACCCTGGAGAACTACTGCCCAAACAAAGTTGACAATACTGGGATGGTTTGGACAAACAACCTGGTCTCATGTATAGCCGCTTCCTATGTTCCTATCAAAGGAATAAATAATAAATGTGCTTATATAAGGAGGTAAGTTGAATATTGCAAATGACCTAGTAGGGAGGCCACAGTTGATAGGATAAAGTCTGTGCCTACAGACTCTCTGCTTTCTACAGCTGCCGATTGAGATGCACTGCTGGTTTGCTGGACTGTGGTCACCATATGCTTTCAACATAAATATTTAACCATTTTAAAACAAAAACCTCAAAGTACATTTTCATCTGTTGGGTAGTGGGGTGATATTTCTGCATCATAGTCATACTGAAAAACTTCTCAGGTGTTCCTATTTTCCTGCATGGCGTATATATTCTTACAGATGTGCATGATATATAGCCATGGTCAAAGAGAACCAGAAGAATCAAAGCATGGCTCCCCATGTCAAGCTTAACATAAAAAGACACACAGGTTGTTCTCTACTTACCTTTCACCGAGATAATCTCCAATGACGGTTTTATTTAGCCCTTCCCCTTTATAGAGGAACTGTGCAATGTCCTCAGGAGTATTCTGCAATAGGTCATTTTCTATGAGGAACTGGATTCCCTAAAAAGCAGCAGGAGGAAATGAATTCAGTTGCTTTCGTCTTCACAAGATTATATGTTCTGGAAATATTAAGCTGTGGAGTTATTATATTGATTTCATTGATCAGTAGGAGTTTGCCTATGCAGATGAGATGCAGCCTCACCTGTGCAGCCTCAAAGCTCACCTTTTCTGGGAAGCCTTTGGATCATCCCCCTTACCTTACTGAAACTAAATCAAAATACGTATAATCAAAATAATCAGCT